TATCTACAGAGGGAGTGAGTCCTCCATGTTTGGACAAACCAAACACTTGCACCGTACTTGCACGTTTAGAACAAGCTGCCCTTAATACCATGCAGGTCTTATTTTGCAGTCCCCCTCTAAACAAAGTCGAATTTTGGTTCCCGCTGACTGAATGCCGGAGAATCCGTCTCTAGTTTGGAGTGATTTTCTTTCACCTTCACTCTCAGTTGTTACTGAAGCTCTAAAAACATTTTTAATGTGGGAATCATTAACCTTTGCAACCTCTACTGGCAACAGTAAGAAATGCAGCACTCGTTCTACACAAGTTATTTATTATAATGAATATATAATATTATGGAAAACATTTTCTCTCCTGTCTAATACTTTCAGAATGCCTCTCTCTCTCTTTTTTTCACCATGTTGTTCCAATTTCTTTTTTTACATTTCTGGAAACAAACTAAAGGGAAATAAATAGTCCAGAGTCCACTACAGCTTAGAAAATCGTTTTCATCAGTTTGGCAGAAGTTGGGTCTTTTTGAGCCAATTCATTGTGTAAAAGAACGTAAAACACGAGGAATGGGGGGAGAGGGGTCGATTACCAGAGAAGGATCTGTTACCAACCTGAACATGAAGGCTCCTTTTTATTTAGCGGAGCAAACTTCTTGATCCTCGGGTCAGCACAATTTCAGGGTTAAAGTCGAACAAAAGGCTGCTGGGTTGATCTGAGGAATGAGCCGGTGGCAGATAAAGTGTTTACTGCATTCAAAAGTTAGTGGTTAGTTGTATCTTTTGGTTTTTTTTTTGCTATTGTTTCGAGGCTCAAGGCTTTAATGTGTCTTTATCAAGGTATCATGGGGCTGTTGTCATTAGTAATGCATTACAAATACATTCATGCATTCTTTAATAACTGATTTCCGCTGTTTATCCTGCAGTCTCTGTCTCAGCGCTACCAGAGGCAGATTTCATCGGCAGTGAGAGGTAAGAATACCGCAGATTACACTGACCTACGACCTCCTGTATGTTTTAAGATGACCTGCAGGAGTACGACGTTGTTGCAGCATCATATTGGTGCAGATAAAAGTTAAATAAACTATTTTACTTGCCACTAGATGTCGCACTAGAGCACCAAAGGCCTAAACAACATGCGCTATGGCCGACCAGACTCCATTGACAAAACCAGGGATTTTAATCTGAAAGATAATTGTAATTCAGATTGGACAGACAAAATAAAACTCACCAATGCTGGTTTGGTCAAAATAAACCCTTAAATCACAGACTGAGATGAGAAAATGTATATAAAAGGTTATAAAGACACTGTTAGCTAATACAGCAATGCAGACGTCAAAGTATTGTACGTCCACTAAAAGTTGTTTTGGCCACCGACAGGCTCAGATTGGTATTATAAGTGTCTGAGAACATTATTCCTACAGAGTTAGACCTTTTTGTTTAACCAGAAACAGCTGTAATATCGCTCTCTATCTTTACATAGCAAGTGTTTGCTGTTATATTAATGTTCTAAATCTCATATATATATAATCTTCAAATTTCCTTCAAAAACTTGTGAAACTTGGTTTTGTTAACGTGTGTGTGTGTTGTCTCTCCCTTTTCCCCCCCGTGTTAGATGAAGTATCTCGGGTGCTGCCCTCGCTTGTGATGGTAGACAGGGCTTCACCTCGCCCCAAAGTGGCAGCCCATGTCACCGGCAGCTTCGTGCCCAAACTGGAGCGAGAGGGAGGAGGTGAGTCCTGCAGAACCCAGGCTGCAGTTGATCCTTATTGATTGATTATTAGGAGCTTTTCTGATTGTGGTCTCGTTTGTTTGTTCTCCACAGCTCCGGTTGCTGCTGGCCGCCGGGTTCACGGACAGAAGATCTCGTGGTGGGAGGGGCAGAAGGGGCTGGCCTTCCTCCAGGACGTCCAGCTGGTGGACGGAGAGCTGGTGGTGCCACAGCCCGGCCTCTACTACGTCTACGCCCAGACCTACTTCAGACACACCCACTCCCTGGAGGACGAGGGCGAGGACGGCGAGGAGGCGGAGGACAGGGGGAGACCCCTGCTGCAGTACGTCTATAAAAAGGTGAGGGTCGCCATCATGTTGTCGTTAGCCGAGGCGGAGCTCATTTTCAGCTGTTTGGTACTGGAAGTATCTCCCAAACTTCTGTCCTGACAAAGACATGAAGAGGTTTTTGTTTCAGGTTAGAAAAACAGCTTTGTATAAAACTAGTAATTATTTTCATTATGGATGAATCTGTTTATTGTTTCTTCCATTAATCGATTGATTGTTTGGTTTTAGTGAGAAACGTCATCACAATCAATGCTTGTTTTATCCAACCAACCAGCCCAAACTTGGATTTAATGATTCAAAATAAACTGAAAGAATTAAAAGGAAATTAATCACATTTGAGAACATGAAACAATGATTAAAATGAGTTATTAGTTTTCTGAAAGTTGACTAATTGATTATTTGACTGATTGTTTCAGCTGTTCTTGTATAAACTGTTTTATAACAAACATATATTATAAGCTCTTCATGTGTCAGATAAATGAAGTCACTTTTCCTCTGCATTAATGAGAGCGTAGTTAAGTGTTAAAAACAACTTTATTAGATTTTCTAAGTCTGATTTTAACATCCAGGTGCTTATTTTGCAACTACTATAATCACACATATTTTTGGGATTTGCCAGCATTGAACCAGGAACGTTGTGCATCTTAACTGCTCGGACACAAGGACTCGTGTGCAAATGTGATTTAAATCTCATGGTTTTTGTTGCCCTGAAGCACTCGCAGACTGATGAATCAGAGCAGACGACTGACTTCGGATGGTGGACTCACTCCTCTAAGTCTGACTAATCACATCTTATGACTAACGTGTGTGTTGCATCACAACACGGCACACATCCAATAACAGTAACGCTTTCTGCTTTGTCAGATAAAACTTAGATTCAGCTGTTTTGAATCTTTGCTAACCCTTTTATCTTTCTTAATAATGTAATAAAACTCTTATCCAGGAAAACAACATGAGAAATGTGTTATTAACGTGAGTTATATGAGATAAACATCGGTTAGACTGAAAGGATAAGTTCAAACATCAATGTGGCTCATTGTAAAGATCAATACTGAAGGATTCTTAATTATTTAAAGGTAAATTCAGACATTTTTGACCATAAAATTATGTGATTTTGATCAAAGATGTTTTGTTGGGTTTGTGTATTAAAGGACATTCATCGTGCATTTTAAATATTTTCTTTACATTTGGATCACAGATGTGTGTCTAAACTAAAATGTTATTGTATATTTATATTGGGCCACAAGAGCAGTGCGAAGTGTTTGTGAAGAATGTTTCTGTTACTCAAAAACCATCTTGCCAGATTTCAAGATACTATGTGTCTGAACAGGGTGGTTTTAAACCAATCAGCGACCTTCGAGGAACCACTACGAACCATCTTGTGCAGTCAGGTTGAGATTTTTGTTGTAGTTTTTAATATAAATGATGCCAACTAGCTCTCCAGTAGTTACTCATAAACCAGCTGATCAATGACAGATGTTAGCTGGTGTCAATACGACCTGAACGCGGTTCATCCGACCCGCCGTCCTCTATCCCATCTCACTCACCTCTGCCTCTCCCGCCAGGTGAGCTCCTACGCGGTTCCCATCCTGCTGATGAAGACGAGCCGAACCTCCTGCTGGTCCCGGGGATCCCAGTTCTCCCTGCACTCCGCCCACCAGGGGGGGCTGTTCCCGCTCGGCAGCGGCGACCGCCTGTTTGTCACCGTGACCAACGCCTCCGCTGTGGACATGGACGAGAAAAGCAGCTTCTTTGGGGCGTTCCTCATCAGCTAGACTCGAGATCGCAGGTTGATCTGGGGGAAACCAACCAGACGCCATCACGTTGTTTTTAATGTTTGTGATGAATCAGTCTGAGGAAAACATCAAACCGTTGCAGCCGCGAGAGACTGAATGAACCCAGAGACTGAAAAACTGCAGCAGCAACTCGTCGGGACAATCTGTCTCTTTATTAAGGATCACAAACTAAAAAGAATGTGACAACACTGGTTTTGTGATTGATTGACTGATTTGATCCGTGTGTGTGTCAGAGAGAGCCAATCAAACTCTGTGACTCTACAGACATTACAATTTGTACAAACGTGTCTTTGAGGCAGAATCATGAGTATTTAGCTTTTTAAAAGTAAATTAAAGTGTTGAGCAACAGATTTTCTAAACTAACCCTTCCTAAGTCCCGCCCCCTTTTTTGCTCTGTCCTCCAATAACAGTCTAGATATGACTATATCTGTCTTTTTTTAACTATCTTTACATTTTGGTTGTGTTAGCATAGCTTTTGAGCTGCATTCTCCTCACCTGTCACTAGGATTTTTGTCTTTTTTCTCTATAAATCTTTAAAAAAAGTTTTTAAAGACAAGCGCACAAAACCAAAAAGTGTAATAAAGTGGTAGCTCACGACTAATCTGGTTATAATCTGCCATTTGAAAGTATTTTCAAATGTGTAAAGTTGGCTTGTACCTGGACTCACAAACTCACCTTTAACAGCCACAAGGGGGCGGTGTTTTTGACATCGCAAGCTTAGATATACACGTGCCGACCCGGCGCCACCTGTAGGAAAGCAAATGTTGTAGCAGTTTAGACCTTTTTTTTTATAACTAATGCTGGAGGATTTGTTCTTTACTGAGAAAAAACTGGGCTCTGAGAATTGTTTGTATTAGTGATAATCCAGCCACATAAATGTTAGGTGGATGTTTGTGTAAAGATGTAAATATTGTGTTATATTTTGTGTTTTTATTTTTCTAATAAGCCTGTAAATTCTGGGTCTGGGAGCTCTCCATGAATCTGCTCTTCATTTCCCCTCAGCGAGCTGTCGAACATGCACGAACCCAGACAGTCAGGGGAGTGGTTGCCCGAGGTGTAACATCACCACCTCTTCCTCCATGAGTTTTACAGTAGATTTAAAAAACACTGCTCCTCACTGGGCCGTGTTTTTGTTGGCAGTCTCTCTCTCTTTCTGCTGTCAGTCTTCCAGCGTGTTGGCCCGTCCCTCGCAACCGTTCTCCAAATGGTGCATTAAATGCTCCCCGACGGTTGGTATTCTCGGGCATTCATGTCACGTTGGATTAAATGCAGATGTGACATGCAGACTTTGGAGGAGGATCATTCGTGTGGGATTATTTTTCTAAAGCTCGTCTGGCTTCCATGTGATTGTGGCGAACACTGCAACAAAATCTACTAATGTTCAAGGACGCATAAACCAAAATTACCGGTTACATTTGACCGAAAGAGAGTTGGATGAATCAGTGATTGTAACAGATTGCGCTTGGAGATTTAGATAATTGTTGTATGATAAAAGGAATCTTAACTCAAGGTCTACTGTCTAGGTTTCTCTTGGGAGAGTTACGGTATAAGATGTCATATACAACAGATTCACACGGTTCCTTATACATTAAATTCAAGGGCTTTTTAAGAGAGTTAAAAGAGTTTCCAGGCCCAGTTCCCTCTAATTCAAGGACCCAACAGGGCACAGTTTGAGACACAGATCAAGGTTAATTACTGAGAGAAACTAATAATTTGAAATGAGGGGCTGATTTTGGGGGACTGTTGCAGCCTAAAATGTCCAATTTCACTGCAGTTTCTCAATAAAATTGCAATGAAATTGTGTGAGAAAGTTAAAATTGTACAAAGTTGTGCAACTTCTTCCAGAAAGAATCAAATCAATAGTCATTTGGTGAAGTGTGGCTCAACTTTTTTGCGTGGGAGGGCTACTATGATTGGTGAAACTCACAGGGAACTACAATGATTTGTCAAATTTAAGTCGGTTTTCCCCTCAAATTCACAAACTTTGAAGGATTTCAAGGATCTGCGGACACCGTGGGTTTATGTAACTGAATGGCTGATGAAGGTCGTGAGTCGAAAGCTCCAGCACAAATCTTAAAAGGGTTAAATTGACTAAATCACCCAGTATCAGCATCCAAACATTGTATTTTCCAACATGACATGAATGCAGCGTTCACTGTAGCACTTCTGTAAATATCACTTCTACTTTTTCTCTTTAATTTCTTGTTTTTGCCACTAAAGTATATCTTCTTTACATGATTTTGTTTTGGTGTTGGTAATCCACAAAGATAACAGTGGGAAGGGTATACTCCAGGAACAAACACGATGTCTCGAATGGATTGTGGAGGTTTAACAGTAACCTGGGACACGGATGTAAATGCAGCCAGTACCTTATGTTCAACCTCCACCTGGAGTCAGTCTTCTGCTGGACCTCGAACACCTGAAAAGCATCAAACAGTGAACACCTGTACACCAATCAGCTGGCAGACCATCAAACACGAAATAGACCAAAACTAAATGTGAATGTAAATAATGAGGAGTTTTTTTTGTCTGTAAATATGTAAAATAAAGACACTGTAAGAGGAACTTGTGATATATTTGATGGTGTTTGGTTGTAGCACAGTTTCAGTACATGTTTTATGTCTGGGGTTGTTTCTGGTTCTTGTATACGGTTGATTGATCAGCCAATTTACCATCAATCTGAAACAAACCACACGTTACCAGCATCCTTTTAAAACTGCTTTTACAAATGAAAGCATTATTAATAGTGAATATTAGGATGGTGGAATTAAAGTTCAATGTTTGGTATTTACTGTATGATGATTTATATTCATCTAGCACTCAGTATTTTGTGAAAGCTATTTTAAAAAGATGATGGTTTGGATAAAGTTTTGCACATTCAGTGATCGATCAATCACTGGCATAAAAGGAAAGCAGACACAACCTCAGACACCCTGATAAAGGCAATAAAAACATTTGGGGAATTGAAACTAACACTAAGGAGAGATTAAAGCAGCTTATTGAAATATATAAATATAAAACACAAAATGATCTGGATCAGAGTCTTGATCTGATCCATTCTGGGTCTGCAAAGCTTTGACTTTAAATTAAATCACAACTTTAGTTTGTGCAAGTCACTAAAGCCACCTGTACAGATGGAGCAGACTCTGCTGGACATTAACAGGGGTGTTCTGCCCCCTGCTGGTGCTCATTAAATACAGCAAGAGGGACACAAATAATAATCACACAACACTTTAGTAAGTTTTTGATTTTCTTTCTTTTTTGTGGAAATATGTTACAGTTATATTACAGGTATTTAAATGCCCAGAGGGAGAACAAAAAAAGAAAAACTGTTTGGAGACACCAGAATCTAACACTAAGAAGGAGACAGCAACTTAACTGAGACAGAAAAAGTCCAGACTTGATCGACAGACAGAGAGAGGGCAGAACTGACGCCCAACACGTGATGTTAGGAGACGTCCAATAAATACTGCAAAATGATGTTAACGCAACTTTTTAAAAAAACAAAACAAGAACAAAAGACAAAAAAGGAAAACAGGTGTGCTCTCCTTCTCGAGTCCTTTGTGGTATTTTAGCAGCATGTGTGTAGCTTCCAGAAACCAAAAAAAACTCGCGAATAACAACGTGCACAGCCTGCAATCAACCAGAGTTTTTAAAACACAAGTAACAGAAGAAAACATGGTGGTTTTTAAGCTGCGCGTGACCAGTGAGAGAAAGTGGGAAAAGTGCTTTTAATACAAGAACACACAAATGATTAAACAGGTTAACTTAACCTCGACGTATCAAACAGCAAAACCAGGGATCGAAGTTTTATCTCCCACCAGCCACAACGGTTGGTTGACTCTAAAACTCACCATTGAACCAGTTTTATTCATGTTTTTCTTTTTAAGTACACATTAACATCTTAAGAATACTGTTTGGGTGCCTGACGTCAGCTCACAGAGGATAAACATTGAACAGACATAAATTAACATGTACATTTGGCTGGTGGTGTTAGATTCACATCCCGGTTGTTGCAGTGAAAGATATCAAACATTGGATTATTAGAAATGTTTTAACCTCTAGCAGTTTATGTTCAGTTGTTTTTCTCTTTCAGGGGTCTTTGATAGTCAACTACTCAACTCTTTATTCTTTAGTTCTAGTGGTCTAAGCAGAGCTTACAAAATACAATCTAAGCGTTTACCTGTGTGAAAATATTCTGGTTGAATGCAGGTCTGCCCCTGCGCCGGCTTCCATTGGTTTTTCATGTAACTTATAAAATATATCATAAAATGTCTTCTTAAATGGAAACTGATACGTCCATGTACAAAAAGTTCTTTCTTTTTATATAAATTACACCAGTCTCTGATGATGATGATGATGATGATGATGATGTCTCCGTTCCTGCTAATAAAGGTTCATCTCCAAACCAAACCTTTCCCCTCACACATACACACTCACATGCACGCACACACACATACAAACACGCGCGCGCACACACACACACAGAGGCGTGTGACCGCGGTCGACGCTCTCCCGACGTAGCTACACGACATGCTCTACACATTACCCATAGTAGAGAAGAAAACGACAAACAGAAACTCTAACCCCACTGAAATGAACTCTCTGCACATACAGTAACGCTACACCTCTTCCTCCTTCCTTCCTTCTCTTCCTCACTGCATCTGTATGCGAGACCACAAGCATGGTGCAGTTTCGGGCGATGGACGGAGGGCGACTCCTCAGCTTCAGCTGGTGACCCTCACTATCGCCTGTCACTGTAGCTGCCTTGTTCTGGCTCCGCCACCGCCGCTCCCTGGCACGCCCAGATGGATAACGCCCAGCTGGCGGTGCGGGGAATGTGCGTAACGACCGACCGGAGGAGGGGGGCGGGTACCTCAGCAGTCAAACCGCATGTCCAGTGAATCGTCAAAGCCCCTGTTGTCGTGTCCCGCCCCCGACAAGAAGGTGGCCGTTACGGGAGCCCCTGTCGCCGTGGTGACGTTGAGGAGGGTGTTGCCGGGGGAGCTGGTGGCCGGGCTACGGAGGGCCGCCGCGGTGATACTGGTGAGGTTGATGCCCAGCGTGAGACGAGTCTGTTCCAGAGCTTTCTCTGGCACGGCGAACGCCTCCAGCTTCTTCTCCCCGTTGGCCATGTAGGAGTTCTGGCAGCCGCGGCAGATACAGTCCAGACACGCCTGAAGAGAATCAGAAACAATAACAACGTGATCCAATAAATAATGACAACAACAGGTCACCCAGACTGCCCCCTGACACCAAGGATAAACAGATTGTTTCATAGGTCGACAATGAACCGTCGACCTCCACAGGACCAATAAAACTGCAAAGCAACGTCATTTATCTTTAAGAAGTCAGTAAAAAAACTGACTTCCACTTTTATGAATAATTAAAAACAGTCCTTAACATTAGCTTTATTAATGGTGTCACTTTGGTGACACATTTACTCTCAGTTTACTTCGAGCAGTGTCAATTTATTGTCACTGGAACAAACTGCCTTTGATTTTTAATGAATTATAGAAAACAAAACTAAACTAAATTGCAGCCAATTTTCCACTTTCTCCTGCAATCTAATTACATAAAACATCACAACAAGCATCACTATTTATTTTATTTTTTAGAAAAGTTTCAGTGAAATCCTGGAGAGTGGGATGTGGGAGGTTTCCATGAAAGCAACCTGTGGTTATGTGCTTTTAAAAGGTTTGCTAACCGCTGCTGCAGAGTAACTTTCCTAACAGCCGAAGCTCTTTATGACTGTGTCAACAATATTTCAACTCCATGCAGGACTCCCAAAGAAGCAAATTAGTCATAAAACTACAGTACAAATCAATCAGTCGAATGTAATGAGCCCCCAGGTGGAAATTCACTTTGTTGACACATGTTGTGAGTTATTTAGGTTGATATATTTCCAAACATTAGCACTCTGTCGGTGTGTGTGTGTGTGTTTTGGGGGGGGGGGGTTTGTGTTGTAATTAAAGAGGACTGGGAAGAGCGTCAGCGTTCTTCTCACCTTGCGGTTGGAGTAGCAGGGGCAGCGCTGCCCCCTACAGGTCAGCACCGAGGGGTTCTGTGTGGCTCGGCCGCACTTGCAGCCCTTCTTCTCCACGGGCTTCTTGTACAGGGGCTTCGAGGGGCTGGGGGGGTGTGTCAG